AAGCCAAAACATCAAGCAGCAACCAAAACAAGGCATATAATCAATAAATAGTGGCGTGTGCAATTGGGTGAAGTAACTGATTGTCATCCCAACGTGTAAATCAATCAACGACAGACAAAAAGCAAGGGACGAAATGACCGAGGGGTGCATACTTTTAGCAGGGTACGCGAGAATTGTCGGACAACTGAACTGTTTGCTAATGAGCTATATTTGAAAATAAGTGCGGGTAAGGTGTCCTGATTTCTCAAAGATTTTTTCTAAGGCTTAAGATGCATGTACAGGGCGTATTTGTACAGGGTTTACGTCATTGAGGCGTCGAATGTGGCCAGGGTTGGGGTGTGGCAACCGCCATGGGGTAGGAGTGGTAGCGAGGGAGGAGTTTTCGGTTGTTTTAGCGCAGGAGGTGGCTATGGGGTGCCATGTTGTATGTAAGCAAGATATGGGCGCAGCATGGAATAGTGTGCTGGTTAATCGCAATGTCAGGCAGACAATTGTAAGACAGGGTGGGCGATACTTAGTGGTGACGTTGTAGTTGGAATAAGTGTGTGGAGCATCCTGCGCAATGTTAAAGGTTAGAGTCTCTCAGTGGGGGAGTCTACCCCCAGCTTGGCGACTGGATATAAGCATCCGGGTGTGTGTGCGATGGGTGTGGAAAAACACGGCCATCCCATTCAGAATGGGAAAGAGACAAATGGTTTTAGTGACAGGAAGGTATCACGCTTTTAGGTAGTCTCCGTGTCCGGAGAGTAACTCAACATGCACCAAGGGCGTTTTGGGGTGGTAGGCAGGGGTAGGTGAGGAGTAGTTAGTATGTTAGCAGGGTTAGAGTCGGCAAGATTAGAAAGCCGAAGGGGGGGTTGCACGCCCTAAAGCACGCTTTTCGCTGCATAGCACCCATAGCGGCTCATCAGAGGGGTTAGCTTAGTAGTGGCTCCTGTTAGGACGGGGGATGGTATGGGGATGGGGGCTAGGGAATGCATGGGCATCATCAAGAGGGGTTAGGCAAGGAAGAACGAGTTAGGAGATCATACCTGAGCATTCATGGTCGGTGTTGCCAGAGGGTCAGATGCCGCCATCGCTCGGTAGCTTGAGCGTGTTAATCGGTGGCTTGCGTGTAAGTCCGACCGGAAGACCGCAATGCAGTCCTGATCTCAGGGTCAGACTGCGTTCAGCCTAGCACAAGCACAGAGATCGTGCGGAAGTGCTCGTAGCAAGTAGAGCAGAGGCGTAGCCATTGGTTCGCTACCTCGCAGACCGAAGTAGTGAGCAAGGTAGGGGTCGCACACGCGGGCATGCGCTGTGCAGTAGCGGAGTATATGCCAGGGCGGTGAGGAGAGCGCAAGAGGGGAGCGGTGTGGGGGTGCGAGCAGTATACATACTGTAGGTGGCCAGTTGGAGGCAGGAGGAGGGTGTGCGTGGTACTCAAGCGCATGGCGGGAATGCATGGCTGCTGTTCTGATGTGTGCTGCGTCAGGGCGCGAGTTGGCAGCAGGTGACGGGTGGGTATACGCGGGAGGGGTGATCTTGTGATGCTTGAGCAAGTGTACGCGACATAGAGGAGTGTATCCTTCGTATGTAACTCCGTCATAAAGTTTGTGTATTTTTTCGTAGTGTCCGAGTTTTTGTTTTTTCTGGGTTTGTCCTTATTGCTAAGATTTGGTGTGGCTATGGCGGTGCTAGCGCCGTGTAGGGAGTAGGGATYGTGRAGTTTTTGTCTTGATATGGCCGTGACGTTTCGTTTATCGTGTCGGATGCGCGACACCTTGTCCTTTTTGTCTGTCGTATTGCTAGGTGCCGGGCTCAGTGATGCACGTCATATTGATGTAAACAATTTTTGGGGGGGGGTTTAATTAGGGGAGGTCATGCTGCGTGCTTAAGTCTAGTGTACAGTTGTAGGGTGTTGGTTTTCGAAAATCACAGGGACAGTGGGGTGTGGCCCGGTTTACCCAGTATAGTATCAGCCGTGGGCCGCCGAGGGGTGCTTTGGCAGAGGCATAGAGCCGGTGTACGAGTATGTGCAGTCTTTGTTTTTTAATTGGTGCAGGGCGTCATACACCCATAACTTATTTCTTTCCTTATGCGCCTTTTGTTTATATGTGATGTAAGTGCGTGTTGTAGTTGGATTGTGACCCGTTTACCTGGGTTAGGCAAGATAGTTGGTGGATTGTTCGTATATCAGCGGGCCATTGCTGTGCTTATCAGGTTTGTACGATGGGCAGTGCATAAGTGGGTGTGTATGTGGTGGTTAATTTAAGTATCCTGGCTTTATTTAT